AGGCGCCGCAGGGATGAAGGGACCTGAGCTGACAGCAAGCACGGGGCACAGAGGAAGCGAGGTTCCGGGCACAGCACGCCACGCTGGCGGTCAGGGCCCGGCTGCGCAGAGCAGGAAGCAAACTCTCACAGTGCAGACGTTAGTGCTCTGCAACGCTCCGAGGACAGCTGCTATTTCCAAAGGTTGGGAATCGCGTGTGCTATTTCATTGCGGAAGGAGAGGTGACAGGCAGGGGAGTAAAAGGCACATGATTAAAAATGATCTTCTCTGGAAACCATAAAATACCTGGAAGCAAAGATGGGCCAAACACTACACGACATACACTTCAGCGACATCTTTGAAGATGCAGCACCCAGTGCAACGATAGTGAAGGCAAGGATAAACAGATGGGACTACAGCAAGTTAAAGAGCTTCTGTACAGCAACAGAGACATTACAAAAAACAGACATCCCACTGATTGGTAAAAAATTTTCGCACACAAAACTAGCGATAAAGGATTGATCACAAAGATATAAAGAACTGATGAAACTCAATAAAAATAAACAACCCCATCAAAAAATGGGCGGGAGAGCTAAAAAGACACTTCTCCAAAGAGGAAATGCAGGTGGCCAAGAAGCCTATGAAAAAATGTTCAAAATCGCTTGTAATAAGGGAGATGCAAATTAAAACCACAGTGAGAATGGCACATCTTCAAACAACTAGCAACAACAAATGTTGGTGAGGATGTGGAGGAAAAAGAACTCTCCTGCACTGCTGGTGGGAATGCAAACTAGTACAACCACTATGGAAAACTGTCTGGAGGTTCCTCAAACTGCTAAACATGGAGCTTCCCTACGACCCAGCAATCCCATTCCTAGGTATCTACCCAGAGGACACAAAAACGCTGATTCAAAAAGACACCTGCACCCCCATGTTTATTGCTGCTTTATTTACAATTGGAAAAACATGGAAGCAGCCCAAATGCCCAAAAGTAGATGACTGGATTAGAAAGATGTGGTACATATATACAATGGAATATTACTCAGCAATCAAAAAAAAGAAACACATGTCTTTTGCAGCAACATGGATGGAGCTGGAAAAGATCATGTTTAGTGAAATAAACCAGAAAGAAAAGTAAAAATAACAGATGATTTCACTCATAGCAGGAGTATAACAGACCAGGGGAGAAAATAATAATAATGATGAACAACCATATACCAGAAACATTTTATGGGGGTGGAGTGGGGAATGAGATCCAAAACAGTGGGGGGAGGGAAATGCACTGGACTGTGGTGATGGCACATGGGTGATTTGGTGATGGGCAACCCAAGAGGATTGCAACTAAGATGGAAAAATGCACAAAATGATGTAAAAATAAACTATTATATTATTCATTTAAAAAAAAAAAAAAAGGTCTTCTCCCCCGTGAACATTTCCTTTAACTAATGTGCAAGTGTTTCAGGATTCTCCTAAAATAAAAGCTGCAGAGACCTCACCACAGTCATATAATCAGTGCTATTTACATGACTTTCAAGTCTCCAAACTTCAGTTTACTTAAATTAAGGTAAATGCAAATTGGACAGATTAGCCAGACTGAGCTTCAATTTTCACCTTTGAGAGGAAACACAGAACACACAACCTTCAGGAAATGCCTCTCATGTGGTAAAAGTCTATGTACGGCCATTCTAGAAACAGGAGTCTGTGATGACCATGTGAATTTTTTACCTCCCTGTGCCCCTAGCAGGCATCAAAAAAGACCTCACTAAAATTACTCTGGTAATTTTTCTACTGACTATGTCTAATTCATTGGACAGTTAACATCAAGAAAAAATAGATGCTGACTCAAAAACTCCAGTGTTCTGTTTAGTGCTGTGGGTAGGGATGAGATCATCTGTATTTCTTTCAGCCAGTGGTAGCAAAGTCACCACCACGTGCACCCCAAGGCGTCCCCCTGGGCTGCGGGAAGGCAGTGAAATAACATTTGCTAATCTGTCTGGTCAGGAAACTCTGTCAAGCTTGGGATCTAGGGGACTTCAGTAGCAGATACTGAATTTGCAGATACAGCTCTGTGAACCTCAGGTTTCGTCGATGCTTTCCTGTCAGGAATGCCACGGACTTCTTGGAGCAAATCCGGCAGGATTCGGGGGTCTGGCTGACTACCGTCGCGCTGAGCCACTGAGCTTCAGCACAATCGATGACCAATGAAGTCCCCTTTGTTTCCTTTCTGACATTTCAGAACCTTTCTGATGATTCTACTATCTGATGTCTGGCCATGTCGTGATACCAGAGCAGACGCCTGCAGCCACTGTTTGCTTTGGCCTGTACGTGAGTCTGGGTAAGGAATCCAGTCAAAACACCTTCAGATCAGCGAACAGCCTCATGGCAGAACTGACAGGCCACATGGAGGAGAGATTTTTAAAATTACACCTAACCCCATTTCTGCACATTCAATTTTTATGTTGAAATGTCATGACACAGAATATAAACTAAACTTTACATGCAAATAATAAATATTCTGAAAGCTTTTTAAAACTTTAAGTTAGTATATATAATGATGCACATACATATAAACCACATGATACATACACATATATATGAACTATGTCACACACTCATGATCTAACAGGTGAGTCTTTAAAAACCCTACAGTGGTGTCTGCACTATGAGCCCCCTGTACCCCAGGAAGCACCCCCAAGAGGAATTGATCTAGCCTCAGTATATAAATGACTGGTGAGAATGACTTTCAGGCTGCGAAAGAATGGCTGAGGAGTTTGCTGTGTGGAGGATGGGCAGAGGGAAGGAAGAAAACAAGAACTTCCCTCAGGTCGGAAACCCCAGCCTGAGACTTGTGGAGCAGTCTCTAGGTTCAGGCCTCACGTGAGGAAGTGGGGATGCCACCTCCTTCAATACGCCTGAGAGTGAATTTACCAAACAGGAGACAGGCAGCACTACGGAAGAAGTCGCCTTCCCATTCGTCACTAGGTACCCAGATGTTAAAGATAAGCTCCAGGCTGACTTCATGTTGGACTCTTACAAGCCTTAAAACCCGGATCCCGGTGTTAAGACCCCCCAGATCAATTCATCAAAACTTCTGAAAGCAGGGCCCGGAAGTGTGCTCAGAAAGCTCCCCAGGCCATCCAAAGTCCAGCCCAGCGGAGCAACGCACAGCCCAGCAGCCCACCCAGCTGCTACTTTCCTGAAAGGACCTGCATCGCTCACCGGCCGCCTCCGTCGGGTGAACCTTCACCTCAACATGGCTCCTCAGCCACCTCCCGGACCCAGCCGAGAGCATCACACCAGGTCCGTCGGGCAGACCTCGGGACTGTTCTCTACTCATACACTGTTATGTCCTCATGAAAATGGAAACGCCGTGAGACTTGTACTTTGCTAGTCTCTATGATCTTACCTCTCTAGCCTTAGGGTCAAAAAACTGAACAGACATATCAACCAAACACAGTGTAAGGTCCTTGTTTAGGTACCAGGTGAAACAAACTAACTAAAAATATTACAGCTGGGGAAACAAAGACACTGACCAGATAGTGCATTTATACAAATACTCTTGAGGCGTGGTAGTGGTAGTGCGGCGGTAACATGTGCTCTTATTTTTAGAAATATACACTAAAATACTTACAGATAAAATAACAATCTGGATTTGCTTCCTAATCATTCCAAAGACGGTGGTGGTGGGAATGAGAGGTGAAGGAACAGATGAAATAAAATGTACGGATACTTGCTAAATCTGGGTACTGGGTCCAAAGGGGTCTAATCACACTTTTCAATGTTTTAAAATTTTCTAATTCAAAAAAAGGTATGCCTACAAATATATTCTTAAATATATTAAATATGTTCTCTTACACATGCCATGCTCTTGGCTCTGAAGCCCCCCAGGACTCCCAGCTGACTAAATCCCTCAGGCCAGCTCTCCAGGCCTTCGCATGCTTTGGTTCATCCTGCGGCATGAACAGGCCACGGGCGCTGTCGCCTGGGCGTCGCTCTGCATGCTCCTCCTCTACACGCTTCCCACACTCCAGCCACACCTCGGGCCTCTCCTCCCCTTCTGCTTGAGCCCGTTCCTCCTCTACACCTGTGAAGCAAACCCCACCGGTCCAGGTCACTGACCAGACCACTGTATAACGTGGTTTTATAAAAGGAAAATGCCCCCTAGACCCAGGTTTTAAGTGGAAGATTCGTGCTCACATGTTGGTGCATATTCAAAGCTTACAGCTGTGCTCTAAGCAGAGCAAGCTTGGATGCTGTTGTTCTGGTGGGAGGGACACAGGGGTTCTTCCCCTTTACACCGCTCTGCACACCCCAGTTTTTACAGTGGGCTACTAAGCCTTTCACTAGAGAGAGCCATAAAGGGTAAAGCCTTTTAAAAAAGGTTCTAAAACATACTTAAATCTCAAAATAATCTGAGGAATTACAAGCATGAGCGTTACACATCACAGAAAGTTTGGTTTCTGAGACAGCAAAGAGGTTTCCTTAATTCACTCCCACTTCAAAGGTCTAAATCCTTAGATAGAAAATCAAAATAAAGATTAATTTTTCTATAATGAAAACCTTATAAACATTTGCAAATACTGTATTGTCAAAATGATAGCTTGCAGCTTTTGTAGAGTTCCAGTTTTTCTCAACTGCACTGGGGAACCAAAGAAAACAAAACTAAAACTGAATGCAAGAGAAAGAATGGAGGATAAGGAGGTACGCAGAGAAGGCAGATTCCTTACTGGCTGTACTGTGCACCCAAGTAAGTAGGGCCCTAACGAAAATTCCAGAATAGCTGAGATTTCTAAATATTCAATCAATTGGAATAGATTAACCAGATATTTAGTGCTCGGATGTCAGGCACAGTTGTACGCAGTGAACAAACTAGATCTTATGAAAAGTTTAAGACATTTAAAAATAACATATGATTTACACTGGAAACACATAGGCCAATTAAATTAACATGATGAAAACTATGAAAGCATTAACTTTCATCACATGAATCTACAGCAGACACGTGTAAAAAGAAACTTTACCTTATATTTCATCTTGGGGCATGAATGAATGTAGAAACCCAGGTAGTAATAGCTGAGCTGTGAGGATTCCTCATGAAGCTGCCTCGTAAAAGCAATTTCTCTGCCAAAAGAAGAACAAAGCTGGTCAGTTAATTCTATTTCCAATATTCAAAGAACTACATAATTTGATGACAAAATTTAACACTAAGCTGTAAAAAAGTTCCAAGTGTCCAATGAAAAATAATTTAAAAAAAAATTTAGTATAGACATACATAAAGACCCCCTAAATTATTTTGAGAAACTGCATCTAAGCTCAGATATCATACTTTATAAGGCGTGGTAGTTGGTCGAAAATTCAAATACCATAAAATTGAAGAGATCTAATTAATATGGTATTTTTGCTGTTGTTACTCATCATCCCCTGGAGTTCTCAAAGACTGTGTTTAGCAAGTTAAAAATAGTACAGCCAACTTTGGAAGACTTAAAAGTCAAAAATTTCACAAGAAGACTATTATGATGACCATTTAGAATCAAACACTTTCAACTGAACATGAGGAATAACTCTTATATCCTATGTCTATATGCTACACTAATACTTTTTTCCACCATAAATAAAGAGGGGAAAATCATGCTAATCTCACCACTTTTTCTCTATTTGTTGGCCCAGGTGAGAATTACACGAACAAAGAAACTGTCAGCAAAGTTTATTCTTCAGATGGCTTGAATTTGTACCAGATATTGTGGGCACAGAATTTCATCTTATTTGCCCAACTGAGTGACTGGTTACATTAGAGAGTTTAAAGCGCAACTTCAGTACATTTCTAAAGTATGAGAAAAGCTGTTTAGTTTTGTTTCTTAAAGGTTTTCTTTCTTTCTTTTTGAAAAATAGATCCTTGATATTCAAGGAAATATCCAGCACATTTTCAGGTTCAAATGTAAATGGCTGAAGGGTTACCACCCTAGATATATGTCTCTAAAAAGCATTTAACCCCCAGCAGACTACACGGAGTGATCTCTCCTCCCCTGGGACTCGCCCACTCTCAAGGCTCAGTGGCAGGCTGAGCAGGCGAGCCGGCCAGGGGCCGCAGCGCCCACCGGCACGCCAGACTCAGCAGCCCCGTCGACGGCTCCTGCTCGGCCAGCTGCTCCCCCAGTCGTTTAGGCCTCAAACCCCTGACTGTCCTCCTCTCACCCACGAGTCTAAGTGGTTCCAGCCCCCAAATCCAGCCTGACCTGCCGGCCTCTCACTAGCGCACCTCAGGCCTCTCAGTCAAAGCCCCTGGCGTGGCCTCCCTGGAACTCAGCAGTCGTCTCCTGGCTGGCTTGCACATCGCCACTCGTGCTCCTCTGTGACCCCACAGTGCGGTTTCAGTAGCCTCCGCAACACCGACCAGACCTGCGAAGTCCCCACTGCCCCCCACGCAGGGGTAGGCTTCACGCTTGGGGAAAGGCCCCGCCCCAGCGCCCCTCCTCACCAGCGCCCCTCACCTCCACAGCCATGGCGTGCGCGCAGTGTGGCCTCCCTACCCGCCAGCCCTTCTTTCTCTCTATTCCAGTCAGCTCCGAGCCCGGGGCTCGCACCCCTTTATGTGAACTTTCCACGGGACAGGCTCCTTGTCTTCTTCCTTGGGCCTCGAATGTCCCATGTAGGGAGTTTTTCTGACTACCTTATATAAAAAGGGCAAATCAGCATGACTTTATTTATATCAAGAAGCAACAGAGTAACTAAAATTAAGCTGCTTTTCCAACTTTCTGTCTGTCCTGACAGAGCTGGAAAGCTATTTTACTTGCGCTTATAAATGGTGCCAGGACATACGGATTGTATGCAAACGTCTATGAAAGAAAATAAGCCCTCCTTTAAAACTCATTTGCTAAAAAAAAAAAAAAAATTCAAGATCTCCAATCAAACATGCTTCAAATCCACAAACTAGATTACACAAAAACCTATACTGACTAGATGAAAACATGACACTATATTGGTTGTATGACTGCTTCAGAACTGAAAAAAAGGGAGGGAGAATATCTGAACAGGCTTCACTGAAATACATTAAAATCAATACTGTTACTGGCTCGGTCCCCATCCGCGTCAGCAGTCAGGCTCAGCTGCCGGCCTCCTCTGCAAGTCTGCCAGCTCCTGTCCTGAGAGCGCCGGAGGGCCATACCACGCTCTCACAAGGCTACACCCCTCACGCCATGTCCTCAAAGCTCCCCGGCTCCAGAAACTTCCAGAGATAGACAAGTCATGAATAGAAATCTTCCTAGTTTTTCTGGGAATTTGCTGGTTATTTACTATCTGAAACCGAATAGGATTTCTGTCAGCTTATTGAGCCATGAAATATTTCATACATAGGCTGAGATGTATGATGAAGGATTAACTATTATTCTTCATATTCACCTGAGAAGTCTAGAAAAATCCATAGCTATACATTGCAACTTAAGAGATAAAAAATGAAACAAAACAAAAAGTGGGAATATCTTCAAAATACTGACTGGTCCTGGTACAAATGGCATCTTTTCTGAAGTAAACTGTAAAGTAGAAAGCGTGAAGCTTTATACCATCAGTTCCCTTTTCAACATTCTTCCTCTATTTGACACTCACAAATATTTTTAACTATACAAAACCCAATTAAATGCAAAAGAATAAAAGATTATTACAGAGGTCAGTTAAAACATCACAGTGAATTTGTTATAATTTGGCATTAAAAACTAAGGCAAAAACTTTCAGGGTTAAAAATTCCAAGACAGACAACTTCTTTGTATTACAGGCAACTGACACATGGACACAAAAAGTCAACAACAGAAATTTTTAAAGTTAAATGGTGATTAAGGGAAAATATCAGTTCTCCCTCTTTTACAATTTAAGTTAAAAAGCACACAATACAAGAATCATGACGTGAACAGCCGACCATCACCCACACCATGGGAAATGAGGGAAGTGACACAATGACAAACAATAATACAGACAGGATTCTCGACTCCCCTTCCTTCCACTCCCCCCAACACACGTATAGGAATATGAGCATTTCTTTGGATGGGACCCCATCATTTGAACACAGTAAGACACCTAAAAATGTGGATATGGGCCCTCCCTGTGGGCGCAGCTGGTTAAAGCTCAGCACTGTAAGCAAGATGCAGCCGCTTCAGTGCGAGTTCAATCTCCTCCCCGGAGGTGATCCACCTGGCACGGCAGACCTCTTCTGACCCCAACGCTGCTCCCCTCAGCAGTGGACTTCATCAGTCGGCCTGTTCTGCTCCCTACTCTGTCTCTGGTGTAGCCTCTCACCTCCCCTCACCTCTGGCCTGTACCCCAGTTCTATATGCATAAATAAACATTTTTTTTTAAAAGGTGGATATGTCATGTGTTTTCCCAAGGCCATAAAAAGGAGTGACCTTCT